TTTCCTCCCCGTTTCCATGAGCAGTGCTGCTTTTCTTAGACCAAACTCTTGTTTGAAAGAACCCCATGAAGGAGGACAAATCACACAGGTAGGAAGGCAGGACGGCACATGGCCTAGTCCCCAACGCCTTCCGCCAATTGGAACCCTGGGCATTCCAGTCCACTTGTAACAGCAGCAAAATAACAAGTGTCCCCTGCCACCCTGCATCCAGCATGAAGCCCTTCACTGTTCACATGTCAAAGTGGGCTCAGAAGTAAGGCAAAACTATGGAGCAACTGTCAATTAAAGAATTAAGGAATGTGCTTTAGAATCAGCATGGGATGAAATCAAAATCACCAGATGGTGTCTAAAATGTTCATGGTAGGGTTGGAGGGCACAAGCTCTGCCTGCGAATAAAGAGTTAACTATCAATTTGCTCAGCAATTTTCAGATATGAAGAAAATGAGAATAAACTTAAAAGGACTACAGTGCAGCAGCCAAGAAAGAAGATTTCCTTCCTTTTGCCACCCTCTTTTAAATTATCAGGCATTTGGAAGTTCAGAGCAGGGAATTTCTCCTACATGCGTTCACAGATAAGCTGATGCTCTCATGTCATCTCTCTAGGCTCTACCGTAATTCAAATTATAAGTGGTAGAAGAGGTAGAAGATGACATTGTATTTGGAGTTGGCAGAACGATTAGCTGTAAATAAATTTATTTGAAACAGAACTGCTAATACTTCTGTGAGCATTCTCAAAGTTGTTCTGTGTCACCAGATACCTAAATGATTAGATTTGTTTCTGGTCTATGTCTAAAAGGGGGAAAAATGAACTAAAAAATTAATTATAATAATATCCAAATGCGGTAGCCAAATATCTGTAGATAACAAATGAGAAAGAAGTAGAGAAGCAAACTGGCTTTATTTAAACATTTATATATATATATATATATAAAAATAGTATTAAACTAGCCCTGTTCCAAATGCTGTGGTTTGAAGAACTTTTTCTGATGTCAAGTCTGGGAAAATGTCTAATTACATGACTAAATGTCAAAAATTCCTTTTTGCATTTTATGTGCTTTGTTTATTTATTTATTTAGAAACATTTGGTGTGTATAGATACTACAATAAAAATAATTAGAATAAGACACATATCTTAAGCCCAGTTAAGACCCACAGAACGTATTTTTCATTTCAGGAACTCCCATGCTTCTTGGACTGGTTTCAAGTTATGGGCACTTCCAGTAAGAAGAGGATAGCATGGAAAACTGTGTATTAATTGCTACGAACAATAGTTAATAAGTACTCCCCTGAGAAATTTGTGCAAGTTTGAAAAGAAAGGATATATATTTCTTAAAACTGCCTCTAGGCATCACACATACGTAGCTCATGGACAGAAGAAGACAAAGACACACATCGGAGCAGGGCCCTGAATATTAAGTGCTAGTAATCCGATCCAGTACTTTTAAGGGAACACACACACACAGAGCTACAATACATGGCCTAAGCAGTATCTAAAAAAAACACCAAACACAATTTTTCAATCAACGGTTTTGCATAAAAGGATAGATAATTATATTAAAAAATAATAAAAAAGAAGCTTAATGAACTGATTCAGGCTGTAAAGCTTCAGAGCATTTTTTTTTAGCAAAACTTCAGAAAAGCCTCAGTCCTGCAAAGCCAGCGGAGCCGCGCACAGACCTGGAGCAGCCCCGCGCCGAGCTGGAGCTGCAGCTGCGGCAGGGCCCGCGCGGCGCCCGGGTCCCCGCTGTGCTGGCACCACTTGGCCTCCACGCGCGCCGCGCAGCAGCAAGGCCCGAGCAGGGCTCGCGCTCGGTCCTGCAGACTCGTTTGGAGCAGGAAATCTTTTATGTCAAGGACAAGAGATGATCCGTGAATCCCTAAAAAGAGGGAGAAAGAGATAATTTATCCTTGTGGTATCTTTTTCCTCCCAGTATGTCTGTGTCTGCCCGCTGAATTAACTGTAGGAAGAGCTCCGTGAAGGGCTCTCCAGGACGAGGATCACGGTTTGGCCCCAAGACTTTTCCTTCTTTTGCAGCTCACTCTTCCAACATGATTTTGTGCCCTTTATACAGTGTTCCTGTTGGGGAGCAGGTACGCTTCATCCACATTCCTTACAACGAGCTACTTGCCAAAACATTATGACTTCTACATGTGTGAGTATTTTAAGGTTTATGAGAAGAGTCATTTTTCATTAAAGTATGCTTTTTTAAAAAAAGAGTATATTAAGAATAAGAACAGCTGCTTCACTTGATTATATTTTAAACTGATAGGAAATGGCTATTTTCAAGAGCGCTCTCTGCTATTGTTCGGGTTCCTTAGTACAAAATATTGCTTCGCTAGACTTCGGAGTGCACAGGAGGAGAATAAGGGAAATGTTTGAATTCAAATAATTTACAACAATGGCTATAGCTCAAAACATATAATATATTTACCCCCAAATCAGTTTAATCTAAACTTTTCACATCATAACCATTTACAGTTGACATAGTTTTATAAAACATTAAAGAGATAATAGCAGGTTAGATTTATGAATGCACTTAAGTATTCCCAATAAAGACAAACATTTTAAGGAAAGAAATACCATGTAGAAATGTCATCATGTCTCCTCTCTCGTGAATTTACCTTACTGCAAATCACAATTTAATAAAACAAATCACACTTACTATCTTCTTACCCTTTAGTATATTAACTTGAAAAATATATCTGAGCCCAGACTTTTTTTTTTCCTCTTTTGCAGCCCATATCTGGAATCAACATTCTGAATATTGAATGTCATCATACCTACTTTATAATGCCCATGGCTTATTTTTCTGATGACACTGGATATTTATAAAACACGAAAGATTAAAAAATGCCTCAGGCAGACATACAGATGTTCCAAGGTATTGCTCCATTTTGACTTTTCATACCTTTGTTGATTGAAATGTGCCACTAAAGTAGAACTCTCTGCTTTGAAGGCATTGCAGTAAAGATTCTCCTATCTCTTTTGAAAGAATCTCTTGTAGAAGCCAGAAGAAAAAAATGCCTGAATCCTGGGATGATTTCATAACACCAGGAAAAAAAATATGTAAAGGAAAGAAATATATGGAAACCATTTTTGTTTGTTTGGAGTTCCCATCACGTACTAGGAAGGTGGTCCAACAGTCCCAGCAGCTTTAATGTTGCCAGTGGATTGAATTTAACTTGAGTAGAAATAAGAAACAAGAACGATATTTCTCTGAACAATTTGGAGTTTAGTAAAGGTGATTAAGTCCTCAAGTGAGGACTTAAAATCTTCACTGAAAAGTGATTTGAAATGGGAGAAAAATTTGGTAACTACTGCACAATTCTGCCATACACAGATATGGTCTATAGTTGCACTGGAATATGTGCCAACCTGCAGAAATAACAAAAAGGGAGAAAAGGGATAGCAGAATTCCTGTGGTTTTATTTGAAAATTTTCTTTCTTTGGGGTTACATGTTGAAGAATTACATGGATACTGTTTTGCAGACTTTTTCTGTTGTCATCTCCACAAAATACAATGACAACACAATGTGCAATGGCTTACAAACAGAACTGAGCATTCAACGCATAGTCCTATTGGTTAGAAATTAGCAGGACTTCTTTGAAATGAAGACAAAGTGAAGAAAAAAGAAGTTTGAGTGAATTTTAAACAAGTAAATTAAATATTACAAGACACCTCCATGGATTATGTCCTACAAATACTAAGTAAAGCTCAGGGACTCAATGACAATTTTATTTTCTTCTTTCTGGGACATAGATTCTACTATGTAATGTCAAGAATCACACAATCCTCCTTCTCAACAGTTATACCTACACACTTTCTTGGGGATGAAATGAATCTTAGTATATAAACTAATATGCAATTATTGAAAAAAAATGCAAAGAACTTTCAAGCAAGCTTGCATACCATGAAGTCTTTGGGGAGCTAGGAGAAAAGTGTTTAAAAACATAAGTAATGACTGACAAGGAGGTAAGAATCCTAAATAGTAGTAGCAAAAAAGAGATCTCTGGGCTTACGGGAGCCTTCTTTCAAGTGGTATCAATACCATGGAAATCCTAAGAGAATGACTTCTTTTAGGAAAGAAATAAGCTCACATCCTAAGGGCTGGGAGTGAAGAAATAGCAGGGTATACTATGAGCTTATTTTAGAATTGCTAAATGACATACTAAAATTCAAAGTATAAGCTCAGCTAGTGAAGTTGCTCTCCTATGACTACAGCAGTCCTCTTGAAAAGGTAAAGATGTAAACTAATTCTCCTCTGTTTTTTTCTTCCTCCCCCATACTATTTTCAATCATTTCTTCCATGCATCTCTCACAAACATCTATTGTAGAATTCTGACTTCAGTTTAAACAGATTAAATCAAAGTCTCCGTTTGAAGTGAACTTGGGATGGCACCACAAAGCAGCAATATATCTTCATAAACGACTGTTGTGATATGTAGAAGTTAACTTGTTCTGTTTGGATTATTGCTCATGAACACCAACACACTTCTCAGAACGTGCAATAATTTACTTCTAGGAACAAATAGTTTCATGACTTTTAAAATACTCCTCCAAGAGACTAATAAATACGAACCACTTGCTTTGGACATTGTTTAGAAACCGCTGCCAGGCGTCCATCGAGAGGCTCCCCCAGCCCCACGACAGCCCTTGGCTCCATGTTCTAGCAGAGCAACCACCACCGCGGTCCGGCTTCCGTGTGTCAGGGTGACGACTGCCTTATGATGACATGTGCTTTAAAGGAACAGCCAGGTGGGAATATCGCAGGGCTGTAGGAAAAACTGCTAGCACTTGTTCAGTAATACAAAGAAATTAACTTGCATAAAAACTGGAGAGGGGAACCATTGCAAGAGAATATTGAATAGAAGAAAACTTCTTAACAGACGATGTTGTGTCACTCAATATTTTATTATTACTGACTTTACTTGTGCTAAGATAAACATTATGAAGACACGTCGCAGAATCTGAGCAGCCTAATACGAGGCTGTCAGGGTTTACTGGTAACAGGAGGCTCCATGATAGCTGGAGGCCTGCGTGCACATGTGGGTGACTGAGTTTGTGTGTGTGGGGGAAAAAATGAAAGAGCTGTCGCCCTTAAAAAAATCTAGTAAGTAAAATAACATAAAAGCAATCCTTGCTTTAAGTAGCAATCACCTAGTGTTTAAGCGAAACAGAAGTTAAGAAAACATTCTTTTACTCTTCCTGGTTCACAGACAAGGGGAAAGACAATATTTTGACCTTAAATACGGATTTTTTTTTTCAAAATCATTTTTCACATTTGAATTAACTGTGAATGAAGCAAGGTGAAATCCTGCAGAGCAATTTTTCCCTTCTCTTATGCTCTGCGTAGTCCTGTGTGTGCTTTGCTCCTCTTAGATAGATGCAGATCCGTTTGGTTTTGACTGCCCTCTCACCTAATACAAGGCAGAGCACTCTTCAGCTGGCAGACTTCTATACAGGAATATAATTTTTTAAAGAAGGGAAACTAATGTATCATAATAAGTAAAACAAATCACACTGGACTACAGGAAGGCTGTATTTGAAAAGCCTCTTGAAAGCTTTGCTACAAATCTCCTCTCTAAGAGGCAAGTAGGTTGGTTCATGAAGCTCGGGAAGAAGCGTGTGTCCCAAAACGCCGCCGGCTCTGGCCGGGATGCCCGGGAGCGACGCGGGCTGCAGCTAGCGGATCGGATCGGATCAGATTCCCACCCAAAGAGGCCCTCCGTGGCAGGACAGCAAAGGGATGATCTGACTGCAGGGGCTAATTAGCCAACAGTTTTCCTTATTCACTTCCACTTGAATATCCCACATTACAAAGGTGATGGTTGGTGCTATTTGAGCATGCATTCTCCACATTTGTACCTTGGCAAACTTAGCAACTATTTGCATGTATTTGCACTTTTGACTATTAAAATTGCCAAAGAAAGTAAGACAGCCTTAAATACATATGCATATTACTGTATGTTACATTAGATTTAATTATCTGAATGAAATTTTTCCTTCTCTTGAAAACTTCAGATGCCTCATAAGAGGTTATAATGAAGTTAGTTACACTGCTACAGTTAGTTACACTGTCCTCTAAGATGCTTCTGAGAAAAAGGGTAACAAAGCTTTGAATTGCAGCTATTAAAGCAATTATAGGGGAAATAAATAGTGCAGTTAATGTGAAAGTCAGCCCCTGTATTCAGGTCTGGTAACGCGGTAGCAAGCGCACGGTGAAAGCTGCACGAGTAAGGGACAAGGCTCCAGGACAGCCGCCGTTCCCGGTGCTGGGACTGGGTTTCTCATTAGGGTCGAGAGGAATCTTGCGATAGCTCATTCCCCCCCTGAGAACAATATTTATACATTACCAATTAACAATCCTTGACTAACGGAGTTTTTTCAGCATTACACAGGGACACATGTGGGCTCTGTAAAAACATGAGATGTGTAACACACGGTAAACAGAAAGTAATGATCTTAAACAGGCCAAATCCTTGAATTCGTCACTAATAAATGTCCCCATGCATTCAGCAGCCCTGGATGCTGGGAGCCTGTTTTCTTCAAATACTTCAAACACTAAAATCCAGGAACATTTATTATTTTAATCCATTACAGGCAGTGCTTGATTTAACTTTATTGGTTGTGGTGGTGGTAGTGGTTATAGTGGGGGTAAAGCTATGTTCTTTTACACATCATTTCAAAAGGGCTTAATTATATTTTATAGCTCAGGCCAGGAATCCTGCTTGTTTTGTGTCTAACAAGGTTCAAATGGAGTTCAGGTCAGTGATGAATCAGAGGAGAAGTCAAAGATGGTTATCTATTTGAAATGAGCTCATCTCCCTTAAAGAAAAGCTGGGCAGGTACATCGTGTTCATTACACTACTGAATAC